TGAGCTCGGTACCTTCTTGACACGTAGGTGGATATGATCTTGAATAGCCTATATCCGAACTTTATATTAGTTAATATATTAATACACTAGTCTATCTTTATAATCTATTTATTAGCTTATTATAATCTTTTATATTTAAAATAAAGAAGTAGTTATTTAGCTATAGGATGCTATATATAAATTATAGTAATTATTTCTTACTTAAAAGAAATTTTATACTAGGTTATAATTTTTATTTAAGTATGCTTTATTATACAGAGAGTAAATAAAGATAAGTTATATATACCTAAGCTATAGCTTTTATATAGCATTTACCACTCTGCTTTTTTAACTTTACCTCTTCTCTTTTATTTACCTAACTTCTTCTTTAACCTTTTTCTTTAATAACTATCTTTATTTTTCCTTAAATATCTCTAGCTATTTTTTTTTTTTTATTAACCTCCTTATTTATATTTATGCTCTTGCCCTTGCTTTTTATTATAATCCTAGACTTCTCCTTTTATTATAACCTAGTTTATTTTTATTAAGCTTAGTAAAAAGTGTTATTATAACTACTGCAGTATATTTTAATTCTTATATAGTAACTTATATTTAAAGTAATAGCTAATTAATTTTTATAGTAAATAGCATAATAGTAAGTAAAGTAAATAAAGGTAATAGTATTAGCTATAAAAGGAAAAGGAAAGGTAACTAAATCTAGGTTTATTTATAAAAATAACTACTAGTACTGCATATTAAATAATACTTATAAAGCTAAAATTACTAACTTAAAAAATAAACTAGATATTATATAATTTATTAATATACTTATAGCAGTTAAAGGCTATTAAAAGGATAAACTTTTAAAAAACTAAAAGAAGTTTATAAAGGTTTATCCTTAAATAGCAAGTCTTATTTAATAATCTGCATTTAAGTTTATTTTAAAGCCTAATTAAGCGCTTTATATTTATTTATTAATAAATAAATTAGTTCTTAAAGTAAAAAAGTTTCTTTTTTTTTATTATTTTATAAAGGATAAATAAGGAGACTATAATAAGGCTAAAGTAGCACTAACTATTTATATAATTAAAAAAAGCACTAGCTTACTTAAGTAATAATATAAAGTGTATAAGCTAGTAAAAAAATAAAAAGGAATTATAAAAAGTAAAGTTACTAAAAGTAAAGAGAGTAATAATAAAGTTAAAGAGATAGAAGATGCTAAAAAAGACTAGAAAAAAGAGGATAATAATAATAAAAAAAAAGAAGAAGGGGATAGTAATAAAGAAGGTAATTTTAATAAAAAGATAAATGCTAATAGTATTAATAACACTCTTAATAGTAATAATAATACTTATATTAATAAAGAGAGTACTAGCGCTAGCTAGGATAATAATAAGGCTAGTAAAAAAAAGACTAGTAAAAAGAATATTTATATTAGCTAAGAGAAATATAATAAGTCTTATATTTAATTTATACTAGGTTTAAGCTAATATTTTCTATTATAATAAGTAAATAAGCTGCTTAAAATACTGCAGTTCTATATTAAGTAAAAAAGCAGTAAATAACTAATCCCCTTTAAAATATAAAAAATATAAAGTAAGATATTATTAAAAATGCAGCTATTATAATAAGCTTTAATTTCTAAATATTTATTAATATGCCTAAGCGCCTACTAATAATAAATAATTACTTAAAGGCATATTAACTCTTTTAAGAGTAAGCTAGGGACCTAGATATATTTATTAAGTATATAGTTATTAAGAATAATAAATAGTAATTTTAAAATTTAAGGAGGTTTATTATACTAAATATATATTATAAAGATTAACTGCTAATTTTAATTATAAATATAAAATAAGAATTAAAAAAAGATATAAAGTATAAAAATATCTTAAGCTTTACTTTATAAATAGAATAATAAACTAAGACAGGATTATACTTACTTAAAATAGGTATTTCTTAAAAAGGGTATAGGTTATATATTATAGGCAGTTTTAAAAGTTTATATTAAGAGGGCATAATATTCCTCCTCTAAGTATTTATAACTAAATAGCTAATAGTATTTATTAAGCTATACTTTAATTATATTATATATTTTTACACTTTATAATAACTTTATTTTATTTTTTTATATTAATACTATAAAAAAAACTATTACTAAAGCTAATACTTTATTTTAAATACACTAATTTAAAAGTAAATTTTATATTTAGATTTTAAAATAATATAAAAATATCTATCTTTATATAAGATATTTATATCTAGTTTATTATTTATAAAGTAAGTATAAATAATTCTTTTCTAATATCTTATTATAAAGGTGTCTTAATAATAGCAGCTCCTTATCTATATACTAAAATACTTAGGTCTAAGCTCTTTTTAATCTAAATATATATATAATGCTTTACTTTTTTTTTTTATTTTAACTTTAAAATAACTTTATAATATAGGCGCATAAATAGAAATAAAAAGAATATGCTATATAAGATATCTAGACTCTTAACTGTCTTTTTTTATTCTAACCTTAAGAAAATGCATAAATAGAAAATAAGAAAAATATATTATATAAAATATCTAGACCTTAAGTATAAAAAATAAATAAGGCTATTACTATTTATAGCGCTAGGTCTTAAGCTTATACTTCTTTACCTTAAAGGCAGCAGAAGCTATCTTAAGCATTACTGCATTTTATAGCGCTAGGTCTTAAAATTATACTTCTTTACCTTAAAGGCAGCTAATAGTAAAGCAGCCTTAACAGTCTAGGTATAAGAGATAACAGTAGTAATTATAAAGCTATTAAGGCATAATTATAAAGCCAGGGCTAAAGAGGATAACTTAAAAACTAGGCCTAAAAATTATTATATAGTTAGAATTATATTTTATAAAAAAGCATTAGTAATTAGTAATATAAGGAAAAGTAAAGTTATTACTTATATAATTATTATAATTACTAATAAACTAGGAAAGATAAATAAAGCAGGGATAATACTGCATTTATAATAATTATTATAAAGAGGAATTAAGAACTATAAATAAAAGCTTAGCCTATATAATTATATTAGCTCTTAATAATATATATAAGCGCTTTACTAGCACTATAATAGTTTTATATTATAATTATAGTTTTTTTATATAATATAATTCTTTTATTATAAGGCATTTACAGTTAGCGCTTTTTCTTTAATTAATATTATTATAGTATCTAGCTGTAGAATATTTATAATAAGCAGTATAGATATAAGGTTAGTGCTATAATAAAGAAAACGCTTACTAGCTTATAGTAATTTTACATGCATAAAGCTAAACAGGCTAAGAAAATAATTTTATACCCTATCTTAAGCTAAATAGCCCTTAGTAACTAAAAATACTATCATGCTATAGAAAAAAATGTTATAACAGCGCTAAAATAATAACCACACCCCTTATAAAAAACCCCCCCCGGGCTGCTAGGAAGGTACCTACAGTACAGTACCTCCCTACAGTACGTACAGTTCTCTATGACAACCAAGCGGCCAGAGCTTCAGACGGGCTCTGCTTGATCAGAGACAAAAGGTCGACAAACTTGCTCATCCTTCTCTCTCTCTCTCTCTCTTCTCCCTCTTGTTCCCTCTCCTCCTCCCTCTTGCCAGCTTCATCATCACGTCTCCGTCGCTTCACCGAAATACAAACATGGACCACAGCCACCACATGCACGCCATGGAGGGCCACGAGGGCCACGGCGGCCACGGAGGAGGCATGCAAGACATGTGCAGCATGAATGTGAGCAAGAAACATCACCACCTCCTCCTGCTTGTTCCCCCTTCGGCCCTGATGCTGTTCAATGCCTGCCTGCCTGACTGACTGACTGACTGGTCCTCCCATCTACCTATCTAGATGCTCTTCACCTGGGACACGACCAACCTCTGCATCGTCTTCCGCCAGTGGCACGTCCGCTCCACCGCGTCGCTCATCTTCTCCCTCATCGCCGTCGTGCTCCTCGGCATTGGATACGAGGCTCTGCGCTCCGTGTCTCGTCGTTACGAGGCCTCTCTGGCCACCCGGCTGGAGACTGTTCCTAGTGAGTCGATATACCTTCTCTCTCTCTCCTCTTATATTTCTTCCGCTTTGCTTCGGATCTCGCCGTTAGTCTCGACAAGAGACAAATCGAATACCTGCCTACTTCAAGCTCGGCGAGAAAGTCCTCAAATATCCTTCCCACCCCCACCCCTAATCCTCAAAGAGTGACCTCTCTTGCAAAGTCAGAAAAAAAAAACAGAGAAGAAATTGCGCATGCTAAGACGCCCTTGAGCCATCCCCGAGCATGCCTACCGCGATGATGAAGAGATTGTTACTGAGACACCCGCCTTCCACCGCTCAGGGCAGAACCGCGAAACCGTCAGCAAGCGAGGCCACGTCATCAAGGCGACGCTCTATGCCATTCAGAACTTTTACGCCTTCATGCTCATGTATGTCTCTCTCTTCTCTTCTCTTCTCCCCTCTCCGCACACCTTCCCGAGTGTTAGTTACCCTTGGCTGTTGTTTCTGACCGGTGGCCTTGGCGGATCCTCAAGGCTCGTCTTCATGACCTACAATGGCTGGGTCATGGTGGCCGTCTCGCTGGGGGCCTTTGTCGGCTATCTCTTGTTTGGCCATTCTACGTCAGCGACAAAGGACAATGCTTGCCATTGAAGGAACGTTGTCGGCTGTGCCTCTCGAACGAGCATTGGATTTCCCGTTGGCAAGCGATGACGGCGTGTTTTGCATGCAGCATTTGGCTATCATATATGGCTGAACAGATATTACAATATCCGCACAGACTCATCCGCTGTGGTCTTTATGAACTCAATTCAAGATAAAAGTCGTCGTCTTGCTCTATGCATTACGCAAAAGTGAATCATCATCAGAGTGGCCGCCGAGTCCAGCGGCGTGCTTTGTCTTGCGCCAGCGAGCCGACTCGGTCACATCTTGGCGGGCTTGTCTTCGTCTCTCTTCACAGGGAGGCTATTCTCGTGACTCTCGTCCAGCGCGCCCTCGTCCTGCGCGACTTTGATGACCTTGAGATCCCCAAAATCAAGATTGTGTTCCATCTCGGGCTCCTCGTCGTACGCGATCCTCGCCGCGTCGACCAGCACCCTGCCCGTCAGGCCCCAGACCTTGAACCGGCCCTCGTGATCCTGACTCGCCTCGAGCTGGTCCGCCAGCTCGATCTGGGCCGCGCTGCCGCGCCTCGGCCGGGAGACCCTCTGGTTGTTGACGGGCACGTAAAAGTTGTGGACGCGCCACTGCTCGCCCTTGTAGCTTGTCCAGGCGCCGTCGTACCAGTGCCCCGGGGGCAGCGTCTCGCCCGGCCGCGGCGGCAGGTCGGTGGCCTTGAGGAAGTTGTAAAAGGGGGCGCTGAAGACGGCGGCGACCTCGCGGGCGTCGAGCCGGGGCATCATGGAGTCCTCGACCAGGGCCGGGGGCGAGTCGGGCGAGGTGCGGTCGGCGTGGAGGAAGGCGACGCAGGGCGTCACGACGAGGTGCGTGCGGGCCAGGGACGGGGGCAGGTAGCAGAGCTGCTCGATGCGGAAGGGCTTGGGGATGCGTGCGTCGTCCATGGGGAGGCCGATTTCTTCGTAGGCTTCTCGTCGCGCAATCTGGTCTGCAATCATGTCCGTGTTCAGCCTGTTGCTCCTCTCTGTCTCTGTCCCGCCACACACTCTCTCTTTCTCTCTCTCTCTCTCTCTTCACAATCCAAGGGGCTGAAGGGCTCTATACACATACATGGCGTCTCGTCCCTACTGTCTGCTTTCCCCCCCGGCAACGCAGCATGGCCCGAGAAACTCCTCAGGCTGGCCGCGCGCATCGTAATGACGACCCTCAAGTCGCCCCATCGATCCGCAAACAGGAGCACCAGGATGGCCGCCCGCTTGCGCGCGGGCAGCGCATCCCACAGCGGGAACGGAGGAGGTCTATACACTCGGAGTCGGTTGATGGCGGCCTATGCAGCGTCAGCAAAATGGGTTTTGCATCCAATATCGATATATATATATATATATTTGAAAGAGCAAACAAAAGAAAAGCATAAAAACTTGAACGGACCGACCAGGGAAAAGGGATTCAGGGACGCCATTGTCGAAGCATCATAGTACAGCGATGCGCCTGTGTACTCGTGATGCGCAGCGTCGACGCCGCTCAGCGCCGAGGCGATTCCGCTCTTGACCTGCGCGACTTCGGCTTCGGACAGGGACAGCGAGGAGGAGGAGGCGGCGTCCGACGGCTCGGGCGCGGATGCGGGTGCGGATGCTGTGGGATTCGACGACGACGACGACGGTTCTTGGTTCCACGACTGCTGCTGCTGCTGCTGTTCCTGTGCCTGAGGGGTCATTCTTCCAGCGTCACGGCTTCTGCTACTTTTTTTCTTTGTGCCCCTTTCCTATTCGCCCTGTCATGCAGCACGGGGGGGGCTGTTGTTGTTGGTTATTGTCCAAGAGCCACGCACGGCGCTTTGCGTCGGGGTTGGATGGAGGGGAAGAGAGGGAATGATGACGGAGTGGAGATGGCGGGATCGGAATCTGGGGGTGGTTTTAGTCAAGTTGATACTAGTAATAGTAGTAGTAGTAGTAGTAGTATACTGGAGCGGGGGGGGGATGATGACACCAGCCGAGGAACGGGCCGGTGGCCGGGGGGGAGGAGGAGGTGAGGTTGAGATTTTGAAGGAAGATGTCAAGATTTCCAAGGTTGAGAATTTGGACAGTTGGTGTTTGAGCTAGAGGATGGACTGGGGCTGGTCTATGGCGGTTGGATGGCAAGACATCAAGGGCTGTGACGACATGGACAATGCATTCGAAACTCAGGAACAACAAGATCAAGTGAGTGCACATCTGTCTTATCAAGAGCCCTCGAGGGAGAAGAAGAAACGATATAACAACAGCCTCCGCATTAGAAGACACCTGCATAGTATTAGTAGAAGTAACCCAGGAATCCAATCCAATCAACAGCCTCCCACGATCCAACACTCCGGTCCATGCATTCCAGCCCTTCCTCCTCCTCCCCCCCCCCCCTTTTTTTTTTCTTTCTCCAAGCCCTCAACCAGTCCAACAACCCCTTCAACTTCACCTTCAACACCACCACCACCATCATCATCCTCCTCCTCCTCCTCCTCCTTCTTTACAACAGCGCCGCAATGCCCGCAGCCAGCAACCCAAACACATCCAGCGCCTTGACGCCCGACGCCGCGCCCGAAATCACCGGCGGCTGCGTAGGCTGAACGGGCCTCGTCTCGTTATGATGCGGCCTGTGGCCTTCTCCTTTCTCGCCCTCCCCTCCCTTGGAGGAAGAGGCGCACTTGCTAGAGACCTCCTCCGGGTCGTGCGATCCGTCAAAGGGGTTGTAGCCCAGGCACTCTGCGTAGTTGGACGCGCAAAACGACAGGTTGGCTCCCGGCGCGGCGCGGCACCGGTTGTACTCGTCGTAGCACTTGCACTCGTCCTTCTCTCCATCCTCCTCCTCCTCATGGTGGTGATGAGAAGAAGAAGAAGAAGAAGAAGAGGGAGACTTGGTGTGCCAGGGAGCGCCAGCAGAGGCGGAGGAAGACGGAGACGACGATGATGGCGCCTGGGGGGAGCACGCCGTGGGCTGGACGAGGTCGCCGTTGACAAACGGGTTGTAGCCCAGGCAGCTGGCAAACTCGGAGGCGCACTCGGCCATGTTGGCCTCGGGCTTGGTCGCGCAGGCGTCGTGCGCCTCGGAGCACTTTGCGGCGCATTCCTCGGGCGTGATGGCGGCGGCGGCGGCGCTGTCGCTGTCGCCGACGGTGCTGCTGGTGGTGAAGTCTGCCATGGCCGAGGAGGCGACAAAGGCCGTGATGAGGAGTGCGGAGCGCATCTTGATGTTGATGAAGATGAAAGTGTGAAACGAATTATATGCGTTTTGTTTTGGCGATGTGACTGAGTGGATGGAATTGTGGTTTATCAAGTCCAAAGAGGAGATGCGAATGAATGAGATGAAAGCTGAAGAGCATAAAATGTTCAGAATCACCATTTGCTCGTCTTGGCGGGATCATTCAGCAACTTTATATAACCAGCCATTTTTTTTTTCCTACAAAAAGGGAGCCTTGATATAAACACAAGAGAGTTGCCCAGCTCGAGACTATTTGGCTTCGGCATTCCAGCAAACGAGGCGAAGACTTGTGGTGTTCCAGCAATCGCGAGACATTGGACTGGGGCTGTGCTGGCGATGCTCCGAGACAAACACACACGCATATAAACAGTATCTATATACATACATACATACCTACATAAACAGCCTGCGTGTGTTGACCTGGAGTTGGTTACCCGGGGAAATGGGACTGGATTCTTCTCCTCCCTTTGCTTTTCGGTTGATCGGCCGATGATGCGAGGCATTCATGAGACCCGATTCCTCAGCATCAATAGCAGAGACAGCTGTTGTATCATCAGGGGGTGAGGTTGTTGAGGATCAAGTGTGTCGCGTTATATCGGGACCAAGGTACAGAACGCCGTCAAATGAGCAACAACTATAAACCTCATTGCAATAACCAAATACACAAAATAAAGAAGCCAACAACATCTACAGAAGATGCCAATCAAAAATAGCAGCCAGCCAGCCGAGCTCCCGCAAAAAAAAAAAAAAAAAAAAAAAAAAAAAAAAAGGCAAACATGCCAAGGAGACAGCCTACATTCCTCGTTCCCACCCCTTTGTCTGATTCTTTCTTCACAGCCTCATCTGGAGAACCTAATTGAGTAGTCATGTCGATCCTCGCGGCGTCATTCCTCGAGAAGGTGACAATGACATCAAGACTCGAGCAGGATCACCTCAAGTTTCGTGTGATATGGTAAGAAAGTGCTATACAGACAAGATCACCATATCTATGACACGCAACAGCGAGAAATCAGATACCTACCTTGGTCCTTTAACATATCAGCCTTTGATTCTCAGAATCAGCTGCTACACTTCTTCATAACACGGCTTGTCTTTCGCTATCACGATGAAACAAAGATTCGTCAGAACACAGTGATCGGGTTCAGAGTCCGCTCAGTAGAGCAAAGGTTCACCATACAAACTAGGTATTGCCTACTACCTCTTTACATACCAAGTAACCCAGCAACAGCCAACATGTATGAAACTGCCCAGGTCCCCTCCTAGATCCTGGCTCCGACTCACACGAAATTTCCATTTTCACACAACTCTTCGAGTCTAACTGTCCAAGAGTCAATATTGAACAGAGACATTCTTTCATAGCCAATTGAGCACTGATTTCTTGGTACGCAGCTGCATTAATAAGCTCACTCTGTGTTTTTTGATACTCGGCGGGTTGACTAATGGGCGGCCCACTAGGCCCCCGCCTCTCTCTACGAGAGAGGCGGAAATTTAACCCGTATCTTTATACAATCCGTATCTCACTTTTTATACTTTAAATAAGTGCATCTATATAAATATTGCCTAAATAGGCATAGTAAATATACTTATATAAATATACTATACTTATTTAGGTAATATTAAAATCTTAGCTATTTTTACTTAATAGTTATTTTTTAATTAATTCTTTAAATAAATAAATAGTAAAAGTTTACCTTATATTTTCTTATATAAATTTATAAGGAAAATATTAATATTTTAAATAACTAGCTATTTATAGCTAGTTAATATATACTATTATATATTTTTATAAAGCTTATTTTTTAATTTATTTATTAAAAATATATTAATTATATATTAAAGATATTATTAGCTATAATAACCTAAAAGAAATATTATTATATATATATAAATAATAAAAAAGTTATTTTTAAATAATTTAATATAATTATAAAAAAATATAAAAAAATTTAAAAAAAATTCTAGTTTTATAATATATAGTATTTTATTTTTTAAAAAAATTTATAAATAATAATTACTAATAATTAAAATTTAAGTTATTTTAAATAGCTTATATAAGCTTTATATAATAAGATTTAATAAGTTATAATTAATTTTATTATAAAATTTTATTAATTTTAATAAAGTTTTTATTTATAGCTATTTTTATAAGCTAATTAATTAATAATTAATTTTTAAAATATAATACTTAAATTTACTATAGTAAAGTCTGTTAAGGAAAAAGAAAATTATAATGCACTTTTACTTAATTTTTAAAAACTATTTATATAAATAATTATTTTTAAAAATAACTAAACTATTTAAATTATTATAAATATTTTTTAAAAATAATATAATACTTAAGTTACTAATATATAGATTATTTAGTATTTTAAGCTAGTATTAATTAAGTAATAAACTATACTATCTTAGATATAGAGATACGGATTGTATAAAGATACGGGTTAAATTTCCGCCTCTCTCGTAGAGAGAGGCGGGGGCCTAGTCAGGGCCGCTTACTAGTCAACCCGCCGAGTATCCTCTTTCTGGCCCTCAAGTATTTTCTAAGCTAGACAATTATGGCCGTTATTGAATCCAATGCCCCTATCCCAAATCAACAATTTTATAGTATATTCAACACAACCCCCCAAAGACAAAAAGACAGCAGAAAGGTGGTAAAGTATCGTGTACGAAGCAACAAAATGAAAAGGTGATTTTTGTGACCAAAACCATAACGGAGGGGGATATCCATGCGCACCAAAGCCCGTTTTACTCCGTAGAATGACACCCAGAAGGACAAAAGCGCAGTACTAGTAGTATCGAAATGCAGCAAAACAAAGAAACCAGGAAGGGGTGTTGAGACAGTCCAGATAACGTCCACCATGCTTGTAACATAGATTCGTGCCCATTGTTGATCATGCCTTCGTTTCATGTAAAAGACAAAATAAAAAGGAAAGGGGGGGAGGGGGGATACAGAGTGCTTTCTCCCCGATGCAGTTTGTAACACGATGCTTCAGTTCGTCGTCTTCTTACTCGGCTTGCTGGTCCCTTCGTCTCCTGCCCACACCCAGCAACCGAGACTTGACCGATCCTCGCTTCAGGGAGTCCTCGTCCCGGCTATCCCTGACACGCTCTTCGCTCCTGTGCGAGAAGCGGTCTCTGCGCCACCGTGACCTGCTGTTTGGCCGGTCGCTGTCCGAGTCGCTGCTCTCCTCAAACATGCTCTTGGGCTCGGCGGGCTCCTCGGGCTCGGGCTCGGGAGCAGCGGGTGCCTGCGACGGGCCCTCGGCTGAGCTGCTGCTGCCCGTCCTCCGCGTGTTGGGGTCGGCAGTCGTTGGTCGCCGTCGCAAGCGGCCAAACTGGGAGCCGTGCCTGAAGCTCATGATGGACGATCGCCTTCCCTTTGGCTCCTGGACAGGCTCCTCGGAGCTGGTCTTTCGCACGGAAGACGCAGCTAGTTCGGCAGCAAACTTATGGTACTCGCCGGCGGTCATGTCCTCCTCGTCGCTGAGGTATTCCTCTTCCTCCGGATCCGCCGCCGGGGACATGTAGGCGTCATCCTGTGCAAGGAACTGGCCCACGCCATCCTGTTCAAAAATCCGGGCACTGCGGCGGCGGCGGACAGACGATTTGGGCCCCAGGGGGATTGCAGAGGCAGAGTGTGGCGATCCTGGCCCCCATGAGCTCTTCTTGCTGGATAAACTGGCCATGCCATCGTCGTCTTCCAGGACCGGTACCAGCCCTTCATCTGGCGGCTGCAAGAGATTGGTGGACTTCGGGGCGAAGGGGTCTTCAAAGGTTCGGCTGCTTCGAGCGACAGGCTCTTTCTCGGGCTCCTGGGAGGCGTTGCCCGTGAGATTCGAGACGTCAACATCGTATCCCATGAGCTGCAGCACCTTCTTGGATTGGCGGTGCTTGAGGCTGTGGACAGGGCTCGGCGGGTTCAACATCCGTGGAGGCAGGTTGGAGTTCCTGGCAGGGGTCCTCGGCGAGAGGCGGGGCGAAGCGGTTCGTGCTTCAGCTTCGACTTCCATGTGCAGCGCCTCGGTCGACGCCGGCCCCAAGCCCGGCCCCACCGGCAGGGCATTCGGCTTGCTCTTCCTCTTGCTGATGTTGAGAGGCGGCGGGACGACAGCCTTGTTCATCATGGGCGGCAGAGGCGGCAGAGGCCTCGATGCGTAGGCGTCGGCATTGTCGGGCTGCGATGCCAGCGGCGTCACTGGGCGGCTGTTCCAGTGAGCCGGCGCCGAGGTGGGCGAGGGCGGATCGGAGGCGGACCGTACGTGGAACATCTTTTCCCGGGAGTCAACTGGTGCTTTCCAACAAGCCTGGGAACCACTAGGAAGTGCTAGCAGGAGGAGCTGAGTGAGTATGAAGAGGCCGTGGTATATCAGCTCGAACCCAAGTCTGGCCTGTTTATATGATATGGTCAGTGAGGGAGGAGGAGAGAGGCGAAGAGGCAGGACGGCGGCAAGCACCTGGTATAATAGTAATAAGGACCGACAGAACAGGGCAAGCCCCCCAGGCAAGCAGTGGTCAAGGCAGGGCCAAGCAATCCCAAAGCAGCCCACGTGGATATGAGTGCACCGGCCTCTGGGGTATGAAATTGACCGTGAAGTCGATGGAGCAGGAGAAAACAGCACACCACAGAGCCCTGCCTATGCTTGGAGCCACCCCCACAGGGTACCCCTTGGCTTGTTAAAGCGGGAGGAAAGACGAAACGCACAGGCGGGTACAAGTATTAGGAGTGAACGGTGAGATTCGGTCTAGCAAAAATGTGTACAAGCGTGCGTGCGAGTGTCAGTGTTAGGAGGGGAAAAGAGACTTGGAGACGGAGAGGAGGAAGAAGAAGAAGAAGAAGAAGAAGAAGGACAAGAGGACAAAGAGACCAGAAGAGGCAGTGGAAGAGGACAGGGAGCGAGAGTGATATGAGGACGAGGGTGAGGAAGAGCGTGTGTGAGGAGCATCAGCTTCGGATGCAACAAGGCGAGCGCATGCTCGTACCGCTTGTACCGCTTGTACCGCGCACAAAGTCGTACAAAGATGCGAGCAAGGCCGTCGAGATACCATTCTCGCGCTGCATGATGCGTATGTGCACGAAGAGTCCCGTGTGGTGGTGGTGATACCAAGTACATGCTCCGTACCGCAGTACACAGACCCAGATCCAGAGCCAAATCCCTTCTCCGTGGTGCATACGAAGTACAAAATGCAGTAATAATGCTTGCAATCCATGCAGACAGACCCAGGGAGGGGCGTGGGTGGAGGGCCATGCCATGGGTAAACGACATGGGCAGGGAGCAAACAGTGCTAGTCGACAGCATGTAAGATGACAATAGCCATCCTCATCCGGCATGGCCGATCACCACCACTGCCGAGTGGAGGAGACGATTGTGCCGCGAATTGGCAGAGCAAACTGAGCGTGGGCTTCGACAGCTGACAATCATCCGCGTCAACATCAAGTGTAGATGGAGCCAAGCACCCAAAGCCGAGAGAGAGGGGGCCGATTGCGTGCATCAACGGGCATCCAATGGCGAAAGGCCAGAGGAACGATCGACAGGAATGGAAGAAACGAAACAAGAGGAAAAGGGCAAGACACGGCCATGCAACGACATCCAGGGCGGCTCATGACCTTTCGGGATCCTTCGCCAAGCTTGCACGGCTCTCTGGGGGGAATGCAGCTCAGCTAAGGCTGCGAGTGCCATGCCATGGGCATGCCATAATAACCATAACCAATCTCAGTGCCATCGTATCGCATCTTGGTCGGGATTTTCGGCGTATCCTCCTACTACACAGCTTGACAGCCAACACCAACCCGCACTCCCAAAGTCTTCCCCAAACTTCCTTCGCTCGCTCCTCAGCCTTTTGCCACATCAGCACAGACGGAACATGCAGCCGTGGTGAGAAAATGGGCATCGTGATGGGCGTCGTGCATTCCAGTCTGACATGCTTCGTACCCAGTGGACGCTCGTCTTCCCTTGCTTGACAAGCTATCGCCTCGGTTGATTCTTCTGCATCCCGTGATTTCGTGCTTCGCGCCAGCAGCAGCCTCGCGCGGGAGTGTTTCCTAGGATATGAGCAATTCGCCCCCGTTCATGCAGCATGGTCGTAATCCTGGAGTTTTGCACATCCCGGCACATTTCACGGGTGCTGCAGCCCGTCGTCCTGGAACGCAATCTCGCTTTCTGCGTCTCTTTCCAAGGGCCCTTGCCCGGAACCTACAGCCCGTCCATGGCCCTCGCCGTCGCACCGCCCCGACGGGCATTCATGCTATGGTCGCATAGTGCGCCTGTGCGAAGAATGGTCGAGGCACATCGTCGTCAGAGCTGAGGGCGCAGTTCTCTCTGCTCGGAGCGTAAACTCGTATGTAGAGGAGCATGCAGACTCGTGGTCTCCCGTGTGTCGCTGCAACAATCAGTAGCACTGCCAGCTTCTGTCAGTCAGTTTTGACTAGGCTCGCCCAATGCGTCGGAATGGAGCACCTCAGACGCTGCCAATGCTGACCCTCACCTCTAGATCGGTCGTTGCATGCAGGGAGGGCATTTGCCTTTTGGCCCCTCTGACGGAGCCTCGGTGACCGGGTATCGTCCTCCTGGCCTGTCCGGTTCAGGGAGGTCTTTCCCCTTCTAGCACCCAAGTCGTGACAGCTCTGGCGGAGCATGATTTGTGCCCTTCCATCTTGCATAGAGCTCCCCTTGTCGTGCCTCAAACAGGCCACTTCTTCCCCGTATGTGACCCCTCGTATGCGAAGCAATCCTGTAACTCTTCGCACGTGGCGCCGGCGCAGATAATTGCAGCAGGAGCATATATTGCTTGCCAAGTCGCGTGTATCCCTAGCTGTTGAGGCTACTATCATGAGTATGATCCCTGTCCCGCCCTGCAAGCGGAATTCACGGGGTCCCAGGAGCCTCAAGGCGCTGCTCGGTATTCCGCGCCGTCGTTAGCTTTGCGTTGATCTGTATCACTATTCGACGGAGCTACCAGACGGCTGTTTCACGCTCGCAACTGACAGATTTCGTCGTCTTTTCTCTCTTGTTTCAAAGCACTCCTTGGCGGGCTCGGCTCATTTCGTTTGGCCATGGTATCAGGCTTATTATTTTCCGCGTGGGGGCTGCCGCTGTCCACTACCGGTCAACCAGCTGTACGAGTAGATGAGCACTCCGTACTGGCCGCCCGAGTAATACTTCACATGCCTTGCGTCGTAATCGGGGCCAGGGATTCGTCGCCTTGTCGATGTGATAAATTGCGTCGCCAGTTCAGCCGTCGATGCCGGTGATAATCGTCCGACCTACCTGACGAGCTGGAGAAGAAGATCCATGAACGTCGGGTCATTGTCTCTGGTTCCTCCAATCAGCCGAAGACGCGCTGCTGCCTCGTTGATCGTGGTGGTGCGACCGGCATTTGACGAGCCCTGCCCGCCTATCACTTCGTAAACCTGCAGAGTCCCTAGCCCCCGGCCCCCAATTTCCTCGGCCCCCCATGGCCCCCTGTACATCGAAGAAGTGCTATTTACATGTGCGGTACAAGTGGTGATGATGCAGTATGTAACGACCCAGACTGCCTGTTGGTGTGTAAGAGTACCGAATGTTCCGCGATATCTATATAAATAGAAAGAAAGAAAGAGAAAGAGATGGAAGAAAGAGAAACCAGTTGCAAAAATGTTTTCAAATCCAAGAGCGCGCCAGTTGCTTTGTACAGAGAAGGGTTAGGGAAGATATCCACGCCCCCAAAAAGTGTGCTTGAAGTGCTTCTTCTTTTCCCCCTTCGGCCGAAACGATCAACGACAGACACTCGGCCAAATCATACGTCGTGCGGCAGCCGCCTGCTAATCATCGTCGTCCTTTCCCTGATAGTCGCCCAGCAGAATATCGTCGATGCCGAGCCCTGTAGATGTATTCCTAATCCATTCCGTCTCGACGCGGAAAAAGATCCACATCCACCGGCGGAAGACCTCTAGCAGCTCAATGAGGAAGATGCCACTCTCATAGTCGCTAAATTTATCCAGATGGGGACTCAGCTTCATCGACCACGAGCAACGCAGCATCAAATCAAGGCCAATCACGGCGTAGTACAGGCCAGCGGAGCGGAAGACGAGCCGATCGCGCAGGCCCCACGGGTGGTGCACTGATGCCCGCTCTCGCGAGGAAAAGAGCGTCAGGTCCCAATCCTTGGCCACGTCCCAGTAGAATGAATACAGCGAGTTGACCGTGACGGCGACCAGCCAGGCCCGGTGCAGGGCGGCCATGTCGCTATCTGGCCCGGCCCCCCTTTGCATGGCGCTCGTGATGATGACGGGGAATGCGGTTGAGTACTTGAGCGCGTTGGCCAGGTGCTGGCCACCCCAGCCCGTCGACTCCTTGAAGGGGGCCCGGCGAACTCTCAGGTACTCGATGAGGCACTGGCGCAGACGGATCATGCTCGGTATGGCCATGAGCAGTGGCACAAAGAGTGTGCCCCCGCAGCTCCTGTTGGGATGATCCGTGGAAGAGCCCCCAGCGCTGAAGAACATGCACAGCGTGACAAAGACGTCGCCAAACACCTTGGCATACGATGTCAAGACATCCGCCAGCAAGATGTCCCCAAACTTGCCATCCTGCGCCTCCGCAATCCCGCCGATGCTTACGCGGCGCAGCGTCGCAAGGAAGCGCCTCCGGCCACCCGTAGGCAGATTGCGCAAAGGGACGAAGAAGCATGCCACCAGAGCGACCAGGTATGTCATGGGCATCCAGTCGTAGGCGATGACCCGGGCTGGCACGTGCCAGGTGCACAGCCAGAACAGCACAATGGACAGCGAGAATAGCGCCGACAAGAGTATGGCCAATCGGTACGTCGACAGGTGATGCGAAATATGCTGCGGCGAGCTTCGTCCGGGGTATCGGATCAAGGAGGGAACGTCGATTCGGAAGGCATGCAGCCAATGGAGGTTAAGACCCCATCCCCAGACAGCTATCAGCTGTGATGTTAGCATTGTTGATGCGCTGTAGGACCGGTTCGCCCAGAGACCCTGCGCGAATCGAGCACAACTTACCCAGAGTGACTATGAAGCCGACCCGGTATGGCAGAGGAAACACCAGGCTGAAGGCATCGAGCTGAGGCTCTACCGCAGGATCGCCGTCCATGGTGGAAACGTGTTGTCAGCCCAATTGCATCCGCGAAGAAGCATTAAAGGAATAGACATGGAGGGAGCGCCTCTGCCAGTGGTCCCCTAACGAACGTCTGTGCTCTTCCCTGCGCACGTTGTGTGATATGATCAGAGACAGCGTCGATAATGTCTGGCAGAGGAAGAAGAAGAAGAGGTCAATTGATGTCTGAGGCGACAAAGGACCAAGCTGTCCCTTGCATTTTTGGCGCCAAAATTTAAGGGTAGGTACTACGGAAAAAGGTCCCTGCCGCACCAAAATTTAACCTACGTCACAGCGTTGCGACTGTCACTTTTTACGTCGGAAACGGTAAGACAGCGTAACTTAAAGAACAGTGAGCCCAGATTGAGCCGTATCACTGAATTCAACATTACCTACTGACTCATTAGCTAGGATTAATTATGTATGCTGCTGAGGGCTGTTAAAGGATTATGGTAGACGAAACGTTGCTACGCCTAATCGGACAACTAATTCAGCAAAGTGACGGGTCGACTATTTTGCTACTGACAGACCTTCGTCAAGACAACGGAACTCTCACCAAAGAAAAGTGGTGGACATCAGTGTTGTATCCTGACGGATAAAATGTAAATTTCCATATATCAATTATCAGTCTCCGTTACATGGAGAACACCGGCATGTCACTCTCACATGGCTTCAATACCTGGTATGTAGGATACCTTAGTATTAGCCTAGGGTACCCAGCCGATCTAATGGCACCTCAGCCAGCACTAACAAGCAGCCGCACGGGACCCGAGACTTGTCCCGAGGTCCAGCATGTTAGCTGGAGCGCTAACGCCTGGAGCAGCATGCGCGCGCCCTTGGAAATTGGAACCTCTTTCAACTCCAATCTTTCAACATCGTCGCCAGCATCCATCATCTCGCCGTCATATCTTCATCGTCATCATGTCTCTACTATAACAATTTCTGTTATCTACACCTACCGCTGTCACATGATTACACAAATACTTCCTCAACTCGGCTTCACGAAATAAAAAAGACAGAGAAAAGAAGCAACACCAACAATCACACCCCAAAACATGGCCTCCTCAACAACAACAACACCACCACCCCAGCCATCCCCATCCTCATCGCCCTACCCCTTCGCCGCAGCCCCCGACATCGTCCGCTCCCACCAGAAAGACGCCTACTTCACCGGCAACCTCGCAAACTCCCTCACCGACCTCCACCGCCGCCTCTTCGGCGCCCGCTCCGCCCACGCCCTCGCCCCGGAGCTCCGCACCGCCGCCTCCCTCCTCTACTTCGGCCTCACCACCCTGCCCGGCAACCGCACCCTCGGCGAGGAGTACTGCGACCTCGTCCAGGTCGACGCCTCGGCCCGCCTCGCCCTCCCCGCCTTGCCCTCCCGCGCCGCCTACATCGCCGGCACCATCCTCCTCCCCTACCTCGCCTCCCGCGCCCTCCCCGGCCTGCGCGCCCGCCTGCGCCGCCTCATCGACCGCCGCCTCGCCGCCCTCCGCCAGCAGGACAAGGCCAAGACGCGCCAGGCCCGCGTCCTCGAGTACCTCTCCGCCCACCTCTCCTCCCTCACCTCCGCCGCGCCCTTCCAGGCCGTCGTCCTCGCCCTCTTCTACTTCAACGGCACCTACTACGAGCTCACCAAGCGCATCCTCTCCCTGCGCTACGTCTTCACCCGCACCGTCCCCGACACCCCCGATCGCGGCGGCTACGAGCTCCTCGGCGTCTTGCTCGCCATTCAGATGGCCGTCCAGGCCTTCCTGCACGTCCGCGACACCTTCTCCTCCGTCTCCGCCTCGGCACAGCGCGAGAGGCTGGGCTTCCACGCGGGAGAGCTGGACGTCTCTCTCAGCCACAACAACAACTACTCCGCCTCCAACAACGACCTCCTGCTCAGCGGCGTCGGCACCGTCGGGCCGCAGGCGACGAAAGTGGACATTGCCACGACGACGCATACCCCCGTGAGCGGCGTCCCGCGATTCCACCTCGAAAACGATTCGACAATGGGGTATATCAAGGGCAGCCAGCAGCGCAAATGCACCTTGTGCCTCGAGGAGATGAAGGACCCTGCCGCCACGCAGTGCGGCCACGTCTTCTGCTGGGAATGCATAGGGGATTGGGTGAGGGAGAAGCCCGAGTGTCCCCTGTGCAGACGCGAGGCCATGGTGCAGCACATACTCCCTTTACGCGTCATGTAGCCAGCTTCTTTCATATCTTGTGTGTTTTTTTTTTGTCAAGCGAAATCAGATGTTCTTGGATAGCTAGGTTGTGATACTCCATACATGTAGTCAATGCGTTGGTTGGCGGGGGAAAACTGGAATAGAAGATGTAGAACATAGAAGAGGTAGCTAGAAGGGGTAATAACAGAATAAAACAAAGCAGATGCCTTGCTAGGCTTGTCAGCCAATGATCCATCGCCCATGCCATCATACAAATGGAAATGAAACGGGATAGAAGAATTGAACAAATAAAAAAAGCTTCCCCATCATGCACTCCCCCTTCGTGGTATCATGAACCCCCCATTACTGCGCCCATTGCCCGTCCTTCCGCCTCATACCGCAGTAGTAATGCCACAAGATTAGTTGACAATCCCCATGCACGGTCGGGACCACCCCGTACAGACCGCACATGCGTGCGTCGAGATGGCGCCGCCCGGATTCTAGGCAAGGTCGTCCGTGTTGTTGTTGTTGTTACAGAGGGGGAAGACCAAGCTTGTCCGTCTATCCGTGACCCTTTAAATAGTATGACAGATAGAAGACAATAGTGGTACAGATCCATTCCGGCCAAGCATGCAGAAACGCTGTCAAAGAAAGCAAGATGAGGATAGTCCAGCAAAAACTCCTGTATCCAAGTATCCAAGAAACACTGAATAAAATCCGCCCGAAGACAAATTCTTCCGGTCTTTTTTTTTTTTTTTTCCTTTGTTGTTTTTGTTCTTTAGAGTGTTTGGCGAGATCATTCTTCACAAAAGAGAACAATCTCGCCTCGGTCGTTGCGTCGAAGCCGCAGTGATCTCCACAGCTCCTTCTCTTCCTTGATCTTGGGAATGTTATCGCCAGCGGCCTGGCGCTCCCGGTGGAAACGCTTCAGGGCCTTGTTCATGCTGCAGCCGCGCTCGCTCTCAGGGCCTTTAACGAAGCTGAGGAAAACATCGGCGCGAGGCTTGAAGACAACCATTTGTCCGTCATGGTCGCCCTTGCCGTCCTTGGAGCCGGGCCGGTACTCGATGAGCTTGGGCGACTTCTTGTCATGCTTGTGGGAGTGCTTCTTGGAAGAAGACTTGCGCTTGCTCGACTTGGTCTTGGGCGGGGCGCCGGCGATCAGACCAAAGATGCTGGTGGAGGACTGCTGGTGGTGGTGGTGGTGGTGGCTCTTGTGGTGTCGAGAATGCTTCGACTTCTTGACGGGGCTTGCGGGTGAGAGGTCGGCAATGTTGTCTCCAGAGTAGTCGGGTGAGGGCGGTAAGGTAGGCCGCATCATGTTCTTCAAGCCGCCGGTGAGGCCGGAGTGAAGGACTGGAGGTGCGTCGGCCATGATCTGGTCGCCAGCGACGTCGATGTGCAAGCGCTTGCGCTTCTTATCCTTCTGGGCGTCGCGATCCTTTGATCTGCGTCGCTCCGTCTTCGGCTTAGGGGTGACGAAGTCTGCCGTAGGCACAGGGCCAGTGCCATATTGTACCAGCGGCTCTCCATCCTGATCCATAAGGGAGGCCGGTTCCAGGAGCTCGCCGGTCTTGGTTTCGTAGCGCACAAGAGAGGTGTTGTCGTCGGCATTAGAGGGCTTTCGTTCTCGTGTGCGGCTCACGTTTGAGGCGGTTGGGGTCTGGGAGTTGTCGAGGAAGTCAAAGACGTTGACGTGGTCGTCGTCGGCGGCAGATGGAGGTGTTGGCGCCTCTGGAGGAGGGCCCGCGGCAGACTTGTCGCGGACTTCGTACTCGTGCCATGATTCGTATTCTTTGTCTTCGTTGACGTCCTCGACAAATGGCTGGAGGGCCAGTGTGTTGGCCATGCCCATGCGATGTGAGTTCATGGCGGGCTTCTGCTGCTGCTGCTGCTGCTGCTGCTGCTGCTGTTGTTGCTGGGGCTGTTGCTTCTTGTTCTGTTTGGGTTTGTACAATGCGCCCTGGTATTTCTGCTCCTCGGTCATGCAAGTCTGCAAGCTGTTAGCCGGACCACGCCAGCAAACTCCACGAGTATCGAGCGACCAGGTCGCTACTCTGCCAAGTCAGGACTCACAGTATGAGAGCGGTATTCGAAGCCGGGAAAGTACACCATGCAGTCAATACAGGTGAAGGTTGCGCCTCGACAGCGGCTGCGATGAGGGTCGAGTTTCTTTTTGGTGAGGACGTCACCACACGCCTATATAAAGTATAAGTAAACAGGTCAGGTCAGAAGAGAGTCGAGACCGGGAGATGGTAATGGAGACTAGTGCAATGCAGACGAGGCGCTGCGAGATGTGGGATGGATATATAGTAGTGGCATGTATACAACCAGCAGAAGCGCGGTTGCGGGCAGGGGAGGGGGAGGGGGAGGGGGGTTTGTCGAGACAAAAGGCGAGCGGGACCGAGGGATCAGCGGGACGCAAGCAGAAGGGATGCTTGGAATAATAGTGCCAGTAGTGCTACTGTGCCGGGAGCTGGACGAGCAATAGTGATACTCGTACAGGCCTAGCAGCGCGGAGGGAGGGAGGGTGGTGTGGTGTGTGCAGAGCAAAGGGTGATGTCAGGCTATGAAGCGGCCAGGGCCAAGGCAGTGGTCGTGGCCGAGCATCTCATGCTGCAGGCAGGATGACCGCGACAGGGGAGTGGAGGGGGCGAGCGCCAGCGCCACGGACGGGAATGGGAGCAGCCAGACACAAAGAAAAAAAGCATTGGACGGGAGGGGACAAGACAAGACAAAGAGAAGCATGTCAGTCGAGGTGAGATTGGCTAGTGCCGAACGTACCTCGCACGAGAAGGAAACCATGATGACGGCGGCCGCGGTTTTATTGGGCCACGAAGATGAGGAAGAGTAAAAAAAAAAAGGTTTGCCGGTGCCTGGATGCTGATTTGAGTGGCTTTTAAGTGAAGCCTGTCGTTTATGCTGCAGCTTTCAATTTCTATTTGTGTGTCGATGGGGGCTGCAAATTCGACGGCCAGCGGATGGAGACGGAGGGCTGATGCAGCGGCAGCGGCAGCGGCAGAAGCAGGCAAAGACGGAAGAAATCGCCGGGATTCTGCAGAGCCTGGCCTGGACCTGGACTGGCTGATGGTGGAGAGAGACAGAAAAATTTGTGCTGTGATTGTTTTGGTCGCAGCTGCGGTTGAAGCAGATAGTAATACGAGTTGCGCGCAGCTTCGTGCTTCGTGGCGCCCGGCAGAGGCTCGCAGAGATGCAAGGAGGCGGCCTTTTGTCTGGAGGAATGCGTCTCACGATCGAGGGCGTGTGAAAAGATCTCTTGAGAGGAAGCGAAGAGGAAGAAGAAGAGAAAAAATGCGAGCTGAGAAACGGCAGAAGCTGATAGGCTCTCTGGGGGCCGGCAAAGAGAAATTCGATGGGAATGGAGGTGGGCGCCGGGGAATGGAGGGGCGATTTTTAGGCTTGGAACGCAGAGAAATAGAGGGGTGGAGGGGACAGGAACAAGGCCCGCGCCAAAATAGACCAGAAACAGGGCCTGGAAAACCACTCCAGCAGTTTATTGCAGTACTACTAGGTAGGTCAGTACTAAGTTGTGTTAGTGCCAGGGGAGTTGGAGGGTGGGAAGCAATCACAAGACGAAGGATGAAAGACAAACAACAACAACAACAAGATAACAAGGTCGAGGTCGAGGTCGAGCCGGCAGCCGGGGTTTTATCAAGATTACTAGGCAGTCCTGGTGATGGAGTTGGCGCACTTGCCCGTGTGAGGCATCCCAAGGCGGTGCCTTAGTATCTACCTTACCTTAGGTAGACTCTGCTGCTGCTGCTGCTGCTGCTGCTGCTGCTGCTGTTGTGATAGTCTCATGTACTTGTGGATGCCGCACTCCATCTTCAATCTATCGCTGGCCAGTTTGCTGTTTCCATCTCATCCTCTCGCCAGGCAAGGCGGCTACAGCTGTTGCCTGCGCCTCCTGCACAACGACGTCGTCCTGCGCCGCGACCCTGCACAGACCGCGACAAATTTTTCCTTCCGTCTCTTCTTTTTCACCTTCTCTTGTGTTCCATTCGCTGCCCTATTCGGCCGTCAGGATCCTGGTTGGGCATCAGGCGCGGCCGTAGGGCTTCTCTTTGGGAAGCAAGCGGGAGAGGGAAATCCCAAATCAAATCCATGCCTATGGTATTACTACTCGTACGCAAGCCAAAAGCCCTGCCTCGCTGCGGTGAACCGGTCATAAAGAACTTCCAGATCTCGCCAGCTACGAGCACGCCTCTCCCTCTGCCTCTGCCACACACGCCCAGACAGCAGCTCGACTGGCTCCCGGCAACCAGGCGCCACAAGTCGAAACTCGAACTGAAGCAGCCCGGCGATTGGCTCTACGGCTTCGTTTTCCAGCGACGGGTCACATGAAGCTAGACAATGCCACATGCACACCCTGGCGTCACCTTAGCCTTTCCGTACATACATACAGAATGTACATGGCCCCCCCCGGGACGAAAGATGGTCAGCGTTTGTTGATTCTTACGGCGATGGCGAACTTGGGGCTCTGCGGTGGCCGCCCAAGGCATCGTTTGGCGGGGAAGAGGCAAGGCCACAACGAGTCTAAAAGGGCCCTGCTGCCGACGTGGACGTCCGTTTCGCAACTCAACACCAGTTTTCCCTCTTCGTCGCTGCCCAAAAGGTCTCGGTGATGACGACAAAAAGAAAGAAAAAAAAACTAATACAGCGTGGCCCCAAAGCCTCGCCACGGGCCAAGACGAAAAAAACGACAAGGCATGACAAGACAAGGCCGGAACAGAGGCGGTCTCCTGTTATGCAGCCACGGCGGTAGCACAAAGGACCCAAAAAAAGTCATGGGGGCCGAGGGGGGGAGTGTGTCAACAAGCATCACCAAATTCCATATTGGCGTGAGAAAGCCACAGCGTGATGGTGCATGACGGAGCTTCTCGTACATACCCGCGGATTGCGAGCTGCTGTTTCGAGAAGTACACGCGTGGTCAAGAGGAGATTGAACAGCCGTCATCGCCGCCCTGCTTTCTCCATGACATGATCCATGGGTTTGTCCTTTGTCAGTCGAGCTCAACAAGCCAGAACTGGGGCCAGATGCTCGTATGTACTCGCATGACGCAGCCGCTGTTCGTACTAGCATCAGCCATCTAACAATCTATCAAACAAAAGTCAACGCCAACAGACGCCAGCAAGAGGCAGTACGAGCGCCTCGTAAGCGCCAGCAGCCAGGAACAGGCACGGCGGTCGTGGGATTTTCCATGCTCGAACATGCCCATACAGTATGGACACAACCACCTGCTTGTACAATCGTTGTATCAGGCAAACCGCCCATGTCCGTCCATCCTCTCCATCCATGCCGGACGCAGACGCAGACGCAGACGCAGGGACGGACCCAATCCGCGACGTGACTGTGATGCGCGTCTGCCATCTTGCATTGCACCTTGGAAGGGGGGACGAGGCTCCTGGACCGTCGAGCCTAGTCACCCCCCCATTTGCCCAGAGCTGCCCACCGCGAGTCTCATGGATCAGCGGCCAGGTGGTGATGGATGGGTTGGTGCTAAGGTGGTGCATGCATATTCCCCTTCCATGGAATGGAGCAGGCTAACGAGGAGCGAGACGGGGACTGCGGATGGCTCTTCCGGCCTGGCATCTGTTCGGACGGCTGCTAAGTCTTGACAGATGATGAAGAACCGTCTGCTTCGTCGAAGTATTGTTACCACTAACAATGTCTGATGATAGTACTACGTACCTACCTTGGTAAGGTAGGTAGATGTCTGTCACAACCCAGGTTCTCAAACCTGCGCGCGCATAGAGTCGAGCGTCTGAGATATGGAACAGCAAAGCCGTTGTCAGTCCTATTGCCTCTAGCCCGACTCTGGTCTATCAATGTCTCACGTTTCCGGCCTCGAATCTTGTCAGTCCATCCATGCCCACGCAGCAACACGCAATGGGCTCTCTCGTCCGTCTCCTCTCGCCATCCGGCCTCTCACGCGCTCCCCCTCCTTCGCGCCACCGTCGGCCGCCCACCCACCCACTTCTGCACAAGAAAAAAGAGAGGTCATCCGTAGCATGTCAAATGAAGATGCGAGGGCACGTGTGGCGACTAGTACGAGTAGCAGCGGGATGCGCAGATGGGGGGAGGGGAGGGATGGGTGCAGAATGCTCCGTTCCTCGACAATGTTGCGGCCAGTAGTAGCGAGAAACAATACTAGTAGTAGTAGTCGAATGCCTGCTTCTGGCGCGGTGGTAGTAGGGGAGGTAGGCATGCAGCTGCATCATGCATGTCTCAGGACCGAGGGGCGGGACTCAGGGTCAAGTGAACGAGCGTGATGGCTGCGAGACCATTAGTATTACTAGCACTGCGACTTCGCATCATTGTCATGTCCGTCGAACGACTTGTCAACTTGTTGCCGCAGATAGCATCATCGCTTCGACGCCAGCGACGGACGAGTCGCCGGGTGAAGGAATGGCGTCGCATCATGTTGCTGCCACAGTGTTTCAGACTGCTTATATCCTGCAAGCCAGACGAATGAGAGCCCGCGAAATCCGCGCCAGACTCCGAATCCCTCTCCATCAAGACCCGCGATGCTTGTCAGGATGAGGGTGATGGAAGGTCACTCACTCCGTCCGTCAGTATCATTACCTAGTCGTACCGTCCCCTCGTTTTGGATACCAACTAGCCCTCGTGTGGGAAAGACTCAAAAATGGTCTGCGACAGCTCGGCAGCCGAGACAGAAAGCTTCAACAAACGAGTTTACTGCCGCTGCTGCTGGCACATACATCACAATCACACCTCCCGCCCTGCTTATTTCTCGCGTCTCTCTCCCTCTCTCTTGTTACCTCTCCCACCTCCTCGATGTGGAAGCCTCTGTCCGCTTTGGTCGCGGCTGACCATGTAGGTCTGGAGGCGTGTTAATCCAAGTAGGTAGTACCGCTGGCTCTTTATCAGCTCCCTACCTAGATTTGTTATTGTAAGCAAGGCGAGAGAGGCGAAGGTCTGAAGTGGCCTGGCGGCGCAGATGCAGGCTGATGCAGGTGCAGGTCCGGGTCGGCTACTACTAAGGTAACTACAGCGGCTGTGGCCAGGGGTTGTGATACGCCACGGCTGACGATGTCTGTTTGCCCTGCTGTAGCATTTGTTTAGTAGGGGCGTTGTCGAATAACTGCGTTATTAGTCTGCATTTTGATGCTTGTTAGTAGCATGAGTGAGGCTGATGATGGCATCACGTACTCCGTATGTCGAGGCTAAAAAAACAACACTACAGCTACATGTACTGTTCATCCTGTGAGGCTCAAGATTAGGAACAGCGTTCAGCAGCGCGGGAACAAACCATTGCAATCCATACTGTATTGATGAGGTTGGCTACAGTTTAGAGCGGTGGTACTACTCAACAATCACTGCTTGCCGCATCCACACGTCGCCGATGCAACCGGTGAGTTGTCGGTTGACACGACGCAGATCAAGGCGACACCGCTCCTCCGTCCGTCCGTCTGCATGTCTGTCTGTCTGTCTGTCTGTCTGTCTGTCTGTCTGTCTGTCTGTCTGTCTGTCTGTCTGTCTGTCTGTCTGTCTGTCTGTCTGTCTGTCTGTCTGTCTGTCTGTATGTATGTGCAATGTGAAATGCGCATCAACCATCGACCTCGTCAGCAATCAGCTGTTTGTCTGAGGTGAGGCTGGGCCGAGGCGTGCAGCCGGTCGCCAAGTGCATGATGCAGTGTGCAGCTTCTGTGTCCAGGACTCTCTTTGTTTTCTTCTGTTGTTTATCTTACTTGTGTTTCGTGTGTGATGCTTGCATCACCCTACCTTACCTTATCAGGCATCAGCATCACTGGATGTGCCAGCAGCAAGCAGCTGTCAAGTCTTGATTGTGTCACGCATCGCAAATTGATGAGTCCCACGAGCCGAGGCTGATGGATTGGTGGGATTGAAATCGAGAGAACATCCCTTGTCAGTCTGTACTGTACTGTGATACCTGATGACTCGCGGCAAATGGCCCTGCCGCCGAGGTACCAGGAACGGGGGGCGGAAACAGGAACAGGAAATAATAGGTAGTACTAATACAGGGACTGGCGTGCCCTGGAATTTGCCACTGTAAAATAAGCTGCGGCTGCTCAGGTCCTTGGGGCGATATTAACCCCGGATTTCCAGATCTGGGCTAAAGCTGGAGCAGCCACTCTTTAGTAGCCTCGGCCCGCGACATGTCCAATCCAGCTTCAACCTTCCCCCCTCTTGAGACAAGGCCATTGAGATGCGCGATGAGCTGCTGGAGACGAGGGATTGGCGCTGATGAGCTTATGTATGTAGGTATATCTATCAATCGATGGGTTCCTGGCGATCCAGCAGCTGGCGGCTAATTTTGGCCCGATTGCGCAACTCAGACGACGGCAAATGGCGCTCGCGATGCAGGGCAGCCCGGCCGCTAACTGGCGCCGTATTAGCGGAGATTGAGCGTTTCCACACCAATCTTCGCTGCAAATAACGGACGGGCAGCTTGGAACAACATGAGCTACCTACTAGGTAGGTAGTAATCAAACAACGTCAATGTATCAAGTCCACTCCGGACATCAAAACAGGCAGAAGAGGCGCCGCTGTCGATTCCCTCATCAATCAATCGATCAATCGACTAGGCAAGTACTTACCTCTTACTACAGTACGACTATTCGTATCACACTGCCAGCAACTGGAAAGTATCCTCGACCATCCAAGGTAATCGCTGACCTTGACGGAGCTTCTAAGCCGGGAAAGCTCACGGTCCGTCCTGCCTCCCTGGATGTCACTCGAACGGGCACTTTTTGGCCTAATTCAATCTGCATCCAATCTTTCTCTTCCTTTTTCCTTCTCTTCTCGTCCTCCCCTCTTCTCGCTCCTCTTCCCTCGCTTCCTCCCCCTTCTACCGACTCCTGGATTTGCTTCTCCATCACGCTCCTTTTCATCCTGAATATTCAATCATTGCTAGACTTCCTTCCTTCAGTCTCCCTTTCCCATTCTCTCCGTCGAGACCCGGTCGCCGACTTGCTTCCTCCACGCCCAATCCGAGACGCTGACGAAGTCGATGCAGCCTTGACGAAAGCAAAGCAGCAAAGCAAAAGAATACGACGCGCCTCCAGTCTCCAGTCTCCAGGCAGCGGCATACTCAATCTGCACAGTCGGCAGCAGTGGCGTCCAGTCCAGCTGCATCCAGCGGCCGCGAGTAGATCCACGTCGACTAAGCTGACTTGTCGTTATAACCTATAACTTTTTCAGTCTTTATCGGGATTGCTTGTTTGATTCACCGTCGATTCCTATCATTGGCCTCTCCTTCATCCTCTGGACGACGTTCTCCTCTTTCTCTGACTCCAACGCCGAGTCTGACGCTCTCTGACGCTGTCCATCGTGTCTCTCCTCCGACACCCCTGACAAACGGGAAAAAAAAAAAAAAAAAAAAAAAGTTCGGCGCTTCCCAACAAGCAAATCAGACAGCGCCAATACAGGGGCCCAGCTCTGAACCGTGCCACAGCGTCTCTGTGGATAGCGGGCGAGCTTGAACCGAGTCAAATCTCAACAAGCGCCTTTTCCGCCTCCTATCCCGACCAGATTCGCCTTGTTTTTTTGCGCAGGACTGGCCCCTCTTTTTGTTTCCTCATAAAAAGATACGCACATACATGTTGTCGTGTCATCGGGCTGAACTGCTGTGGCTTGGGCATGGGACCACATGCGATATTCAATTCGACGTTCGGCCACACCTTCTCCCAAAGATGGAAAGATGACGCCAAAGTCCAACACACCCCCTCCAGCAACATCCAAGCATAATCGGCACAACCACAAAATCCGCAACCACAACAGCGGCGACGACATGATGAACGGCTACTTTGGCCAGACCGCCTCTTTCCTGACTGCGGCTGCAGGCTACATGCGCCTGCCAGCTCTGGCTTCAACGGTAAGCCTCTGACGCTTTTTGATGCATTGCATCCGCAGTTTTGGGCTTTGCGACAGCAACTGTGATTGGAATTCCGGATCAGGATCGCCGTCGGGATTGGCAAAGGGAAGAGATAAATTGGGCTGACAGCGAACCGCGTCTCGCAGGGCATCGTGGCCATCTTAACCTCTCTCCTCTACTTCAAGCAAAAGTGCGTCGAGCTTACGAGCCCAGCCCCCAATCCCTTCCCTCTCCACTCTCTGCGCCCATTGCATTATTTGTCTCATGTCGTTCTCGACTCTCTCGTCTTTCTGGCTCATGCTTCTCATTCGAGACGACCCTAGCTAACAGGCAATCCGTCATGGCAGAGCACTCATCTACCCGTCGCATATGCCGCCCAACTCGCGAACCGACATCCCTCGCCCTACGCAGTTCGGAATCAAGGACTTCGAAGAGCTGGTCATCCCCACCGACGATGGCGAGAAGCTGTCGGCTTACTACATCCGCGGCCCCCGTGGCGGCAAGAACTCGAATGTCACAATCCTCATGTTCCACGGAAATGCAGGCAATATCGGTCACCGCCTCCCCATCGCACGTGTCTTCATCAACATGATTGGATGCAACGTCTTCATGCTCGAGTATCGAGGCTACGGCGCCTCCACGGGCGAGCCAGACGAGGCCGGCCTGGGAATCGACGCCCAGACGGGCCTCAACTACCTTCGCGAGCGAGCAGAGACGAGGAATCACCGGTTTGTCGTCTACGGCCAGAGCCTCGGTGGAGCCGTTGCTATCAAGCTAGTGGCTAAGAACCAGGACCAGGGCGACATTGCGGGTCTGGTGCTGGAGAATACTTTTCTCTCCATGCGCAAACTGATTCCTTCCGTTCTCCCTCCTGCAAAATACTTCACCCTGCTGTGCCACCAAGTATGGCGCAGCGAATCTCTCTTGCCGTCCATTACCAAGGTTCCAATCTTGTTCCTCAGCGGACTGCAAGATGAGATTGTCCCGTAAGTTCTCTTGTGTCTTTATCTCTTCATACCCTGCGCCTGGATCATATGATGAACAAATTGCATCACCCACAAAATCTGAACCACTCGTGGCTCTGATTAAAAACACTTTTTCCAAACCCTGAATGATCCCGTGTGCTCCCCTAGGGGTACACCACAATCCCTTTTCCGTTCTCTTTTTGATGGACTGCATCAAGGATATCAGAAACTGACAAGAAAATCCTGTCCAGTCCCAGTCATATGACCCAACTGTACAATGTCTCCACCTCCTTCAGCAAGACGTGGAAGGCCTTTCCAGGCGGCGATCACAACTCGAGCGTGCTGGAGGAGGGATATTTCGAGGCCATTTCGGACTTCATAGCCGAGACCATAAACGACGCCCCCTCCAAGGAGAGCAAGGACGAGCGATAGAACCGCTGTACTGTGCATGTGCGTCGCCGTTGCTGATACGAGCGTGCTGCCACGGCAACTGTATCTTTTTCTTGCATCGCTTGCATCATCATGGGCTTCCCATAGGGACCCTTGGCGCTTGTCTGTTGCATGCAGGCCCCATATACGGCCTCTCGTGGTCTGCTGATCCCAGCTCAGCAAATGGGAGGTTTTCCCGCCGACTCGCGATAGAAGAGTGAGGGCGGCCTCAGACGCGACAGGCCAAGCGTGAGCGGGATGTAGGTGGTCTCTTCCCCAACCCGCGTCTGTCCATGTGACGATGATCGCTTGGAGAGAAGAGTGCATGTGTGGAGGTGGCCATGCGTCGCGTGATATACTCCTGCTTCATACCCGGTCCCAACTGGTGTTTCCATGCATTTTTGACGCTGAACATATTTTTGGGGGTTTTTTTGGTCTGTTTTTGTGCGTGCGTTTTTTTTTTTCCTTCGTCCCCATATATACACGCACATACACAAACACACACACACACACGCCTTCCGGATGGACATCCATGTTCATGCATCTCATACAACAGGGGACGCGTGTTGCAAGCGACATGTCGTATTGGCCAGCATACATAACTACTTTTCCTTCTGTTCATTCTGTTTGAGAGCACCTTGTCTCATACAAGACTTTGCATGACGGGGTACATACATAGGGAGCACATTCCGAGTACATAATCTCTGCACGATACAGGCAATTACAGAGAGTGCACCATTGGGAGGCGGGGATAGTTGGTTCAGAGGCGGTTTGGGGATATATCAGGGTCATGGAGCTTCTGGAGCATAGAATAGGGTTCATTGCATAGACAGGGACAGGATACGGAGTACGATGAGAAAGGGTGGTTTATATTTCTAATGTCATAATATTAATGTCTTGTTCAAGGATCGTCTTCTTGCAGCCAACTGTGATCTTCGCTGAAGGTGTTGCTATAGAAGCAGGACAAGTTGCCGTTCCTTGTATGCCTTATATCATCGCTTGATCGGTAGTGCTACAAGCAAGTATACCAATACTCATCTCTGTCTAGGTATGTGCTCTACATATTCTGATAATTACCCCATGAACAAGTAGCAAGTATCCCATCAAGAACAGACCGCTCAACACTCGACATCCCCATCAAGCTGTGCTGTCCAAGACTTAGCCGGCGTCTCTACCTTCTTCTTCCTCAGCCCAAGCAGCACTCTCTTCCCGGACCCGCCTCCGGAGCTCGCCGCCGCCTGCTCCTCCTTCTTGGCCGGCGTGGCGGCCCTGCCCGCGACGGCGCTCCAGCCCGAGGCAGCATCGCTCCTGCTAATGTCTTCCCTGCGCGACACCTGCTCGTTGGCATCAACGTGGCAGAGGAGGATGTTGCCCGCAATGTCCTGCCGCTTGACGGCGCCCTCGAGGCGCGGCTTCATGTTCTGAAGGGCCTGTTCGACGGCGGTAGGGGTGAGGAACGAGGAGGAGTAGTGCGCCGTGGCGCGGATGAGGACCTCGTCCGACGGTAAAAAGGACGTTGTGAAGGAGAGGCCGGACTGGCTTGCGAGGTCGGGCCGGATGGCGGCCTCGACGTCTTCGATGGTGAGGCCGAAACGGGGGGAGACGAGGAGGAAGGCGTTGAAGGGCTCGACGACGGCGATGGCGAGCGGAGGAGTCGGGGCTCTTGACGACGACGCGGCGGCGGCGGCGGCGGCGGCAGCCTCTGCGGCTTGCGCCTCCCGGATCTTGAGGCACTGCGCCAGAGTCTTACTCGGGGCAGAGACGAACTTGGCGCCTTTCCATATGACGACGTAGCGGTACGGCTCGACGTCCTCGCTCTTGCTCTCCAGGCCGTAGTCCTCGGCGAGAGCATGCAAGAACTGCCGCTGGTGACTCGGCATCGGCTTGAACCTGAGTCGCTGCTCTTCGGGGCTCTTGGCGAGGACCCTGAACTCGCGCTCCTGCGCCTCGGCCCAGGCGAGATTCTCCTTGAAGAGCCGAAGGGTGATGTCTGAGTAGGGGACGTGGTCGTTGGTGTGAGAGGCGGGATCGATGTTGAGAGCGGCGGCGAGTCGTCGGTTGCGCTCTAGACGAAGGCATTCGTCGTCGCACTTGAGCTCGGGACGAGAAGGGGTGGGATTGGAGCTGCTGGCGAGACACTTGACCTCTTGTTGGCGCTGGCCACAAGGACAAGCGATAGTCGCCTTGGCGGCGCAAGGGGCTGATTCGTTGCAAGCTGTGAGGGTGTCTTTGTTAGAAGCTTTCTTCTTTCAGTCTTTCCGATTGAACTGAATTGGACAGGAACTTACGAGTTTGGCCGTGGCAGGGGTTCTGGCAAGCATGGTCACAGAAGAGTTTGGTCTTGCCACATGCCTGGCCGCAGGTCTGGCTGGAGCTGGCGCTGTCCTCGCACTCTCCTGGTCGGTGGCATAGTTTGCGGCATTTGTGTAATCTAAGACTACCGTGTCAGTACGTGCGAAGCCTATCTTGTATTTATAGGGATCCGAGAGACTCAGCAAGTGATACATACCCGCACTTCAAGGTCTTGCCGCAAGGCCGACCACAGTGACCTGCCTGGAGGTGACAGGGCTGGCTATGCAGCTTTTCCTTGCCGCAAGCGCACCACTTGTCCACCAAGAACGGGCACTTGGGACATGAGATGTCGTCCATATGGCAGTTGTGCTCAACCGGCGGGTGGCCGCAGGCTGGTCGTCTCGGGCAGTTAAACCGACACTCGGGGGCGTGCGTCCCGCAGGGCTGCGGCGGCTGAAGCACCGTCCGGCCGCAGTTGCAGCTGATCTCGTGGAAGATGGCTTCGGGGCAGCTCGCGCATGGCCCGCGGTGGCACATCTGCTGGCAGTTATGGCTGCCGCATTTCAGCGGCCGCCCGCACGTCCGGATGCAGATATGCTCGGCTTCGACGACGGAGTCCCCCGGCTGTCGGTTCTTCCTCCTGCTGGCGGCCTGCCTCTCTGCAGCCTTCTTCTCCCCGGGGCAGCAGCGCTCACCACACTTGTGACGACCGCAGCTCAGGTTCGCCTGGCATGTTCTCATGCACCACGGCTGTTGGACGTCTCCTTGGTGACAAATGGACGTAGACGTAGTTCGCCCACATCGACATGCTATCTCGACCTTTTCCATGCAGAATCCACAATCACCAGTGTGGCACTTGGCTTTGCAGAGGTGGCCACAGGGGAGGACCTTATCACAAACCTTGTCGCAATGAGGCACCGGATCCTGGCAAGATTGCCTGGGTGTCTCCAACAGGTTTTCGAGCGGCGTCTTGCCGCACGGGCAGTGTGTTACCACGTCGGGAGAATAGGGGCAGTGAGCCGGCTGCTCATCCTGAGCATGGCAGGTTGCAGAGCAGCTGTGAGTCCCGCAATCGAACTTCCTTTCGCAAGGGTTCAGGCAGCTGAAAGAACCCTCGAACCATGAACTGTCCTCCACGCTGTATGAAGGCCGTACCTCTTGCCGCTCGTAGCAAGGGATCTTCTTCTCAACGCGACCGCAGTAGCACTTTGCGTCAACCTTGAGATCGCAGTCTCCACAGAGTCCGGGATGACATGGGTTTGGGCAGAAGTGCTCTCCGCAGGGCAATAAATCTCCACAAATCTCCTGGCAGCTCCAACCATTTTCGTAGTCGGTCTCTCTGCACAGTTTCTGCGAGGTGTTCTTCCCGCAGAAGCAAGACTGCATCGGGCCAACGAGAGTACACGGCGGGCATGGTCCTGCGTGGCACTGAAGACCGCAAGGATGCGGGCACGTCCCTCGCGGCTTTGAGCATGTCTGGCCGCAGGAATGCGGAGGGAGCGACGTGCTCGATGGCCTCGGGTTGATATCCTTTCCGCACCAGCAGTGATATGAGCCTGGTTCGTCGGACAGCTTGGAGTTACATGCCGGGCATCTCCACAGATTCTCCAACTGCGATTCTGCAGGCCGGGCAGCATCCTGTTTCATTTGGTTATGGTACCACTTTTTGGCACACTTGAGGTGAACAACAGTCCAACAGACATTGCAGGACCACACGTGAGACTTCCGGAGGACTTCGTCTGTGCACACTGCGCATTCATAGTTTCCGTTACTGATGTCCTCGTGAATTCTGGTCCCAAGATCCGCCGCCGTTGACTTTGGTAGCTTCACCTCGGGCTGCCTGGGGACTCTTGAAGGCTGAGATTGCCTCGGATCTCTACATATGGTCATCAGTTTCGGAAGCAAACGGCGGGCATCACCAGATGACTTACACTCTTGGCAAAACAGTTTGCCCGGGTACAAACTCGGGTGCCTCTGCACTTAATGAAGGAGCATTTGATGGTGTATCTTCGGCGCCAACAGTCAGATGACCGCCGAACCGCCGTGTCGTCGCTGGTTGGGGAGCTCGAGGGGCGCCGTGTCTGGCACCGCCTCGCTCCCCCTGCCGCAACCCTCTTCTGCTTCTTCCTCCACGAGCCTGTCTTGAAGGGTTTGAGGAGGGCGCTGAGTCCTGCTGAGATGTGGAAGCTGGCGTAGATGATGGGGCAGTATCTGAGCTGTCGGCCTGAGGGGCAGAGCGCCCTTGCGCGTCCTGAGCGGAACCTCCATGATGGCCTCGTCCTCTTCCGCCGCGGCCTCTTCCTCTACGACCTCGTGAAGCCCCTCTCGAGGCTCCTTGCGACTGATTTTGGGACTGGGCTGCCTCGCCTTCAGGCATAATTCCAGCTAAGCTCTGAGGAGAGCTTGTTCGCGGGTGGTTTCGGATAATCTGATCGCTGTGGTGCATGAATCGTGGGTGATAAGGCTGAGTGAAAAGAAGGCTCTCAACTCGCGGCTCCAGGGTGGTGATGTATTTCGCTCCTTTGTGCAAACAAACAGTGAACGTCAAAGTCCAGAGCAAGAACGTACAGAGAAACAAGAAAGATGAAGAGAACAAGAGAAGCAGAAGCCTGAGAGCTGTGGCGATGCGCAACAGGCGGCTCAAGGCTGTTGATTTATTCTCAAGGTGATGAAATTCCTGGGATTTGCATCACAAAAGTTTTAGTGGGTCGCCAGTGCCTTCCAGATCTGGTGTGGCAAAGCGGCAAAGCCTCCCGGACGCAGAAAAAAACAGCTGCTGACAAAGGCATGGATCGATCTTATTTTCTCCTCAGAGACATGTGAGTCACTGGATTTGCGGAGATTTGGTGAGATTGGCCAATTGAAGCGTTCGTGATGGAAATGAACGAGGAGAAGGGGGATTGTCGAAGAGTCATCGTCGCAGCACGATGGAGACAACCTTCCTGTTGTTATCGTGTGTTTTGGTGTTTGGTCATTGTTGGTTGACTCAGCGCCAGGGGGTATTACAGCTTTGTAGGTTGATTGGAGACAAGATCAACTCCGTCCCTTTTCTTTGCTTCATCTTTTAACTCCAGTTATGCAATACTATGCCCTGCAATAGATGCAGAAACGGCCAGTGCACCCGCTGTAGAGCCCGAAACCGACCAACAGAAGCTTCAAAGCTACCTTGTGATATTACCGCGTGGCAGCAGGTCCGGAATGTACTTGACAACCTTGTTGCCTCGGCATAAAGGGCCGCTTGCTATTGAAGGTACCTGTAGGTAAAGGTACCATTCCGGCTCACCTTTGGTTGGACTTCATGCTTTTACCTACTGCAACTGTTTCTGGGAGCGATTTTAAAGGTTTAGACAAAGAGGAGGGTCTCAAGCTACCCTTTGCTATGACCTCTAGATATATATGTTTGCTTTATGCTGTCGAGTGGCAATCGCAGTCGAGACAAGCAGGCGGCTTCTACGATAGTGCCCGCCCTTACCCGGTACATGTAGCTTGGTGCGAGATGCAAATCAGACCTCAAGGAGTTCGGCGAAGTATAACAGATCCTCTCCACAAGATTGGTGATCCTCGCAAATCCGTAAAGTATGCGATATTGACAACGGCAATGTGACATCTCCATCTCCTGCAACATACAACCGACACGCATCAGACAAATTGCCCATCATTGACTCCTGGTGGTGTCTAGCACAGCATCTCGAAATGTGGGAAACGGTGTGTGGTGGCCTTCCTTGACAATAAGACTCTACGTAACATGATCCCAGCACTTATATGACTAGGTAGGTACTACTACTCATTACAGCTTGATCCCAATGAAGATCCCTCTTTGGCATGCCAGTAATCCTCCACGTCTGAAATAGGCAATGCGGCATCTTGTCACGAATAGAAGAAACACGAGACTTCAAAACTCATTCAAGGCATCAGCACAAGCACCCCTCTGGCGGTGAGCCCACCGTTACCAATAGCCTCATCCTGCCATGATCAGCAGATGGACTACTAGATCAATGTGGCTTGAGCGGCTGAGAATGAAGCGGCATCCTACAACAACAGCAACAGCAATAGTGGCCGCATGCCGGCTGCTGCCTTGGCGCACCTCGGAGAGCAGCAGCAGCAGCAGTAAGTACGGATGAGTGGCATCGGGGTAGACGTGCTGCTGCTGATTCTCCGAAGGTGTTCTTGCAGCATGGGATTAGCCGTGTCACTCGGACGCCTCCTCCACAATGTGGAGGATTGTGTTACCCATCTGTGTAAAGGAAGACTGTCGTTTGGGGTGGTGAGAGCGCCACATACACTCCATGCCTACACAAACTCGACTACGACTACCTGCTCCTCGCTCCTTGGTGTGCAGGGTTCAACGCCAAATCACTCCATGTGACGCCAGCCTTGACTGACCTTTCAATAGACAATCTCGGCTGATACGCCACGAAAACCCCTTTCATGATCTCGCACCAAACACTCAGTCCACTTCCCGAGGGAACTACATACTACTAACTGTATTGCTCTTCCTCGGAACCTCGCAGCTGGTTCTAATGCGGCACATGGGACGCAGGGCGCCTGCAAAGCCTCGCTACACATTACTCTGCATAAGCCACTGCAGCGCAACCCCAGCTGGAGCAGCTCTTGGAAGTTGACAACTCTTTGGATTCGCTGCCATGCCCCCTGCTTGTCACACACTGGGCGCAGTTAGAGTATGTCTGCAGTTCGTATTGACAACTGCTCGCTCTCTCTCGTGACCACACGGAATTCGTCCTCAAGGCGGATCATCATCGAGCCCAAAAGTGGTGCCTCCTTTGGGCGTAACAAGAAGCCTCGGCCGCTCTTCAAGGCACACATAAACGATGATAAGGCGCAATGGATGGATGCGCAGCTGCATGTACAAGGACGTGCGTGCTTTCATTGTTCAAGCAGCAACATGTACTTGTAAACGATAACGCGGACCAGGGAGGCTTAGACTACATGTAGTAGCCGTCTTGTGATTGGTAGCCAGGCTTTGCAAGGGTTGGATTGCCGATAGGTAATACTCAAAGTTCGTAGCCAAAGATCCCATTTCAAACTGCGGCTGATATCTCCCGTGTCTCGATTCCGTATGGCCAACAGATCGGCTAGGATCCTCCGATGGTGGGAATTTGACGGGATGCGTTTTGGGGGCCTGGCGCAGTCTATTGGCCCTCAAGGTGGCCTCGCTGGCGCGTTGTGTTCCTAGACGAACTGGGCCAGGCATTTCGTCGTACGTCCCTGGAGGTAAGAGGTATGTACGAAGTACGAGGTACGGCTGCCGCTGGATTGCTTCTGCCGATACGAGATGCAGCCCCGGCGCCATGCATGAGCGAGAGTGACTCGACTCGACGCTCGAAAGAGGCCAATGGCCCAAAGCGACACAGCTCTGTTGCTCCTTGGCATCACCAGATATTCCGAGCATGTAGTACTTGAACGTAAATGGTAGTGATGGAAGCCAAGGCTTTGCTCTGTTGACACCCGAAGCCGGCTTTTCCACGTGCCTGCATGTCTCTCGTGAGGATTGCCGTGAGACAGACACGGATCTCCCTCTCTCTCTAATAACAGGGGCTGGCCTCTGTCCTCGGATAATGAATGAGCTTTATGGGTATGGAAAGCTACCTGTAATTCGGACTCATGTCTCGCTTCAAGGGATCCAATGGAAACGATGGTGGTATAAGCGACATGCTTGAGCTGGCCTTATACTGATGCATACAGGTACCAGACCTTATGGAGCCATTCAATCCCTGAGCATGAGCTGCAAGAACAGAGCAAAAATGATATCACTTGTGGTTCGTACGAGAAGGGTGGTTCCTTGCTGCACTTCGTATGCCGAATCTGCAGTTGAATGCACAAAGAGAGAAAGAAAGCGAGCGAAATTGATTGCACCACCGTCTTTGTGCTTCCGGTGGGCGGGGCGGGATTTCATGCAAGAGGGCATCCAAGAGTGGTGGCAAGGAGGGGCCGCTGAGCAGTTGAATGTGACATCTCTGATTCTTCCCCTTTCATGCTTGTCTCTTTTTTCTTTTTCTTTTTTTTGTTTGCCGGGCTTTCACTTTTGCTCTTCGACCCTCCATCTGTCTGGTGACGGGCTGATTTGCGTAGCTTTCTTTACATACCTACATACGTGCCCCTGGGAGAGTTATTCAGGCTGGTGCTTACGCTGTGTCGATAAACTTTGGTTCCTGCTTTAGTACCTACTAGTATTCTGTAGGACGAAAGTTTCCATAGAGTGTACTCACATGGCATCATGCTGCCAAAGACAGCGCAGACTGGTGGTTTGGTTTGCCCACAAATAAGCACTTGGCAAGCGTCTGTCGATGCGTCTGCAGAGCGACTCTTTGGGGTATGGCTTGGGGGACAGACCAGCGAGCTGGAGGATTCTCAGTATGGTGCATGGGACCATTACGGTCAAAGTCTATCTTGCCCAGCATGGGATTTCTTGCCCGCCAATAAAGATGGCAATAGAATCAAGGTGGGCATAGTGATACGGAGTATTATCAGCGCGCGCGTGTGTGTGGCTGGCCCAGTTGCGTTGGACAGTCAGTCGGTTCACATGAGCCGATTATACAGAGGTAGAATATTGCCCTTAGAGGCCGAACTGGCGCTGTATTTTACCGTCAACGGTCGAGCTGTGTGTACATGTATGTATCATATATTCCAAGGGTTCCGTCTGTTAAGAGTATGGCACTCTAGTGGAGATCACAGGAGGAGAGAACAAGACGACACATTGAAGCCACAAAGTAAGGGGGAGGACAGAGCAAAGCACCACGGTGACAATATAAGAGAAAAATGACAATGAACTCATCACCAAGATGCTGCCATGTTTCAGGTCACTCCCAGAATAAGGTACCTACCTACATACGTCCAAACTCTCTTCCCCCCTCCCTGTCCTGTCAGCCCCGAACTGAAGTCTTAGGTGTCTGTTCCGCAACACTAACAGATGGCGTCGACTTACTAGCTGCCGACGCCAAGTTCATCGGGTCCGGCCTTTCATCCACCCAGCAAGCGGCCCTTTTTCGCTTTTTCGCTGGCCTCTCTTCCTTGTGCTTTAGTCCGGCCTGAAGAGGGAACTGTGCCTGAGCCACCTCAGCTTCGGCCAATACCTCCCCCCCTGTTGGCTAGCGGGGAGTGTCTTATCGTGCATGTGGCAGCCTCCAGGGGACCGAGACAGTGTAGAGACAACCCAAAAGCGTTGCCATTGATACCAAAACTCTCAAAAGGTCCTGATGTCAAAGCTCAAGCTGCTCTCTACTCGCAGCCTGCCTCGTGCAAAGTCTAATAGATTATACGTATGACCCCGTTGAAGTCCGTACGACCCAAAGCAGCCTCTGGGGGATGATGAAGCCATCTCTCAACCGGGCT